TACCAATTAATCAAAACTATGACAAAATTCGAGAAACGAACAAACCATCGATTGAGCGCTGAACGATTAAACGTCGTTATGAATGCTGAAAGACACAGCAGTTTACTCAACAAAGTGCACCCCAACAGCGCGCGCAAAATGACGCGTACTGTCCAATTACAAGCATGACGCGTACACTGTCCAATTAATGCTCGGGCTGCTGATAGCCAATCACGTTCGAGAATTTTGTTATAGTTTTGATTAACGTGACAAATAGGCGCGCGCAGAATCAATTACGATTGAGAATTTTGTTATAGATACGGTTAAGTTTGTTATCGATTTTGATTTTGAACGTTTTTTATCCTTTTTTGAACTTCTAGCTCTCACACTCACATCCATGATCGAAGACAACGAAGTGGTGACGAATTTATTACTAATTATCTAAACCAAAAACATAGTAACAATTTGTTCGTTAGAAAACCTATTGTATCCAAGTTAAAAATACGGTCCAATGAAATTTTCGGACAAGGCCCTAATCAGATCGATAGTTATTGTTTCATCACTATCTATGAAACAAATAAGTTGTAATTAATAAGTGATCATACATGTAACTAACGTGAAAACCCATAAATTTGATGGAAAAAAAAGAAATATACGTACTTTTAACATTTACTTGTTATCGATATGCATTTTCTTCTCACTGCCACGGATACATTCAATGAACGAAAACATCGAAGTGGCTGAAAGGGACGGGAATTTGTTTCTAATCGGTATTAATTATTAGAAGAACGAAAATTTGGTAATTCATTTTCTTGTCTAAACTAAACCAATCTTTAAACGATGGTCGAATAATTCTTTCAAAATAAGGGGTGCTGAACGGTACACTTTGCGAGAAGCGTTTTTCTTTGCGAACCTGAGACATTTTGACTTTTTCAATTCGGAGACCAAGACTTCAAAGTGTTTAAAATGCGAGCACGAGACATTCAAACTGTATGACCTTCAGAGGTTATTTATAAAAAGAAACAAACAAATCGGTATTTCGAGACTTTCTTAGACTCAATTGCAAAAACTCGAGACTCAGGGACAACTTGGAGAAGAAATCGAGACTGCGAGACGCATATAACCGCTGAAAGAGGAGACGACGAGAACAGTGAAATTCGACGAAACTTTTGCGAGACTCCTTAGTTTTGAAGGATCATTCGACACCCATAAACTAGGTCGTGATCTGAGATCGACATCCTGTATTTATCTAGTGTTCGATCGCCCTTTGACAATAGTGCAGAAAAAATAGGATTATACAATAATTTACCTGTCTGCCACGCGACGAGGAGAGGGTTGCGCCCACTGTTTTGAATTTCTCGTAAGATTGCTCATTAAGGTTATCGTTTGTAACAGTGTTCCTTGTACTGAGGTTTCTTGAGAATCGAGGCCTGTTTAGTTGTTGTTATGTTATTACAATTTTACTTTCGATTCTCCACGAAGGAGCTTGTACTGAAAGGTAAAGTAAACTCCATCGATACACCTGTTAGTTTCATTTGAAGTCGAGAGAATTAAAATCTTTTCTTGGCCGTTGATGTAGTGCGAAAAGTTGAAGCAGCTGTCTTTGCATAGATGATCGACACGAAATTGTTTAAAGTCTGAAATAAAAGAGGCTTTAATGACTCGCGGTGGAAAAAAGAAAAGATGGGATATTAATCAATGTAATGACCTTCGCCTTTGATAAAAAAAGAGCTCTTGTTAACACTGAGTGCCATGATTTTGTCAAAACAACTTCAACGGCTTCAAATCGACTCCACACATCAGGGCTTCATTGGTTTGGCGCAGTTTTGAACGTTGCGCAGCTTTAATGCTGCTGAAAACGCTCTCATGGCAAGTTATTTTTATTTTTTTTTTTTAATTTCAATTAAACAACAGAGTATTTTGCCTGAGAATTTCTCTGCCGAAAGTACAAACAAAAACTTAGGTTCCCTAAATTTGCAAACAGCCTCACAAAGAAACGGTTCTTAGCACTAACTACTTGTCTGTATACCAATCATTTACGTACGCGACAGGACTGTGGCTTTTTGCGTGCCCCGAGAAGAGTGATTCATTTCTGATAATATTAAATCTAAGAGCCCTCAGTCGTAACATCATGCTTCATCCCTTTGTAAATTTGAAGATTCAGAAATGGCTTATTAAGTTGTTATGTAATGCAAGTAAAAAATAACTACTAACAATACTGAAAGTCAGGTGAGTCAGAATACAAACAATGCAATGTGAAAAAGGTTGCTATGGTCACACATGTTATTACACTTTCAGGATGACTGCTAATGTTGTTATTGTTTGTCTTTTTTTCTTTTTTTTTTCACGAAAATTCATCACCTTTAAATCTGAAGAAAACACTGAACCCTTCTCTGGCCGAATTTCTTGTTACTCGAATATGAATCTTGCGAAAGTGACTTATTAAACACAATATCTGTTCGTTCTCTTCAATCGTGTTCGTTTTTAGATCTCTCGTTCAGGATATTCATATATAGCTAAATACGTGAAGCATGAGCTTACCTATCGGGTCGTTCTTCCATAATTCAAAACCACCATCAAGGGCTTAGTAATGTTTTATCTTCATTGTTTAATACGATGTTTTTGTCATCGAAATAAAGCGGTTGCAGGTTCTTTTGAACTTACGTTCGTGTTGATCATACGTATCTTCAGGACTGATGTTTACATAACGCGGTTTGGTGTCAGGAAATTATGTTTAATTCTTCAAGTTTTCAATCTGTGTCATAAACGCCGAGTGATAGTCATTAAACATTAAAGGCAAATTTTCAACAGCAATTTATTTGACTGCTTCTAATGCGCTTTTGTTCGCAAATGTTTTTTAATCAAATGCCTGACTAGTGCTATTGTGTCCTTCTGGCCGTTTGTTGCTTGCTTGAGTTATACATAGCAGTTGTAATAAAAACCAGAATCAACAAACCTCGAAAAACTCCAGTTTAGATCTAATTGTGTTCTAGGTGCCTGAGTTTCTCCGTTGGTCGTTTCCGGATTTGATTAGCACTAAATAATCATGAAGTCAAAGTCTGTGATTTCTTGCAAACTACAAATTTTTAACAGTACTTAAAATATAATATATTATATAATTTCATTTTATGGGATTGAAATAGCACTTAATGATATGTAAGTTATTCCCAGTGCAAAGCATTTCAGCTAACAATTTGTAACCCAGTAACGTAAATAATAAATAATAATGTCAGTGTCTTGGCTAGTCTTGCCATTTAGAGAGAGGCAGAATTTTTTCGGCTTAGGCACGGTTGAAAACATATAATTGTGTTGTATTTTCAAATTTTCAGCACACAAAATTATATTCATTTTAAAATCTCAGCCTCAGGTTTACTCTTAAAATTTTGGCAAATTTCAGCCTTGATATTCTTCAAAAAATGTATTCTTATAAATACAAGAATGTAGCTTAGTTACATGTGGCACGGTTCTGTACGTACTGTATTTTATATTTATTGCTCTATCTTTATAGCAGCAGACGTAACCTTCACTTACATAGCCTGACAACTTAGTGAGTGAGTTGGGAGGCTGTCAGATATCATAATTTTTATCTGATCAACGTGCAGCTGATGCAGATTGGAGATCCATGAAGTGTATTAAATGTGAATGGACTGACCCCCACGCTTGAGACTATAACCGAGCCACGATTAACAAAAGATCATTTATCGTTCACATAACGCCACGTACTCAAAGAAAATTAGCGGCACAGAATGATTTCCAAAGTCCAAGCTAAGAAAATCGAAACATTTGACACGGCAAAAACCCGATATCAGAAACTAATATGCAAATGTTAGGTTTCAGTCACATTTGAATATGACGTTTGATATTGCCTCTGTAGGGGAGAAAATTTCTTTGCGCACGTAGCAAATGACCTTATGCTGACAAAAATGGGAAATAGCACGTAAAACACGGATATGCAACAAGTAAGATGAAATTCAATCGTTAACATTTGTACTCTATATGAATAAACCAAAGAAAAAATGGCTATTCTCGGAGTTCAGGTATAATAAATATAGGAACTTCAACCCATTTACAACGCCTTTCGAAATGTACTGATAACTGAACGACAAACAAATACCTCAGTGTAAGGTGCACGCGCGAAACCAGTGTGAAAATATTGATTTCTCTTAGCTGTTCACCTTTGTTAAGGGTGAATTATATAACTGGCTGACAAAATTTGAGAATTCTTACCCGGTAATAATTACTCCTTTAACATCATATGATAATCAGTAGAATTACTTGATAATCATATGCTTGAAAAGATCTGAAAAGTACTTATTTTTATTACAAACCTTCTCGAGATTCAGAATTATGCTCGAGTCAATGCTCTTTTATTATTACTTCTCATTTTTTTCGAGATTTAAATTTTATTTTTTCTNTTTGTACTCTATATGAATAAACCAAAGAAAAAATGGCTATTCTCGGAGCTCAGGTATAATAAATATAAGAACTTCAACCCATTTACAACGCCTTTCGAAATGTACTGACAACTGAACGACAAACCAATACCTCAGTGTAAGGTGCACGTGCGAAACCAGTGTGAAAATATTGATTTCTCTTAGCTATTCACCTTTGTTAAGGGTGAATTATATAACTGGCTGACAAAATTTGAAAATTCTTGCCCGGTAATAATTACTCCTTTAACATGATATGATAATCAGTAGAATTACTTGATAATCATATGCTTGAAAAGATCTGAAAAGTACTTATTTTTATTACAAACCTTCTCGAGATTCAGAATTATGCTCGAGTCAATGCTCTTTTATTATTACTTCTCATTTTTTTCGAGATTTAAATTTTATTTTTTCTATATCTTTATTATATAATATGTGTTTATGACCGCGTAACTCTTTCAACAACAGGATTAATGATATGTAGCTACTTACGTTGAGTTGATCTTGTGCTTTTGCATGTGTTCGTGCAAGGTGTCTTGTAGACTAATATACAGTTCCTAAAACAAGTGGCTAGTTGTGCACGATCTGAAATTATAGGATCAATTAGTCCATATGATATGGGACAAAATATTTTACGTGTATTGCTAATAGATGAACACCCACTCCCAAGTAACGCAATAATGTTTACGTGAAAACATTGAATCGGAAAGGTTACTGAGGGTTACTTGAGTGCATGGTTTACTCTCAGAGAGTTGCAAATTTTCTAAATTTATGCGCAGCTGCAGATAGCAACGCTGCTGAGCCATAATTACCTTTGTTGATCTCGGTTAGTTTGTACTGCTGTTTAGTGTCCTACAATAATAACTATGTGCATGTTTATTTTCTGTCTTATTTGCTGCAAAATCTGACGTCCTCCGTGTTTGGTTATAAAATTTGAAATCGATTATTGAATATATATGTGTTGTTGACCATGGTTTCGTGTTTATGGACCCAGACCTAGCCGAAGTCCATAAATGTGCACAAATATGATGCCAGTATCGACCTAACTAACTTGACCGAGCGAGTTTCTTAGTCACTAGCTAGTAAAGGATATAAGACGTGACATGAAGAACAGTAGTTTTTGCCGAATATAGCGGGTAATTAATGCCGGATGGGCAAGAAGGCCCCATCTTGCCCAATCACAGTGTAGGATTTGGTTCATCTTCCCAGTTAGCCGTATGATGATAAATAGGTTTTTGACGCTAGTAAAGCTTGTATTAGCACAAAGCGATAATGCCGGGGAAAAAGTGATCCCAAGTTATGGACTGAGCGGGTAAAGTAAAGTAAAAGGGTTTTGTCGTTATCCTGAACTGATCTGAGACCCTGGAACTGTTCAGACCGGTATAATGAGAAGTTATTGACCGAGTAAAAAGGCCGGATACATTCTCCGTTCATTAATCAGGGACTCGCTGCGCTCGTGCGTAGTGTTTTCGATCACAAGTGAAAAATGCTAGCTGCTTATTGTACTCTTGTTCCGCTGGTGAGTATTTATTCCAATGTAATTTTATTACACCGCATCAACGGCGGGGCCAAACCTTATAAAGCATGGTTATATTACTTCATCCAGATTTGACGGATACCCTTCGCTCGTTGAGTTTAAACTCATAGAGGCAGCCATGCAAAGACTGTCGTGATCGAAAAATTTTACAAGCTTATCAACAACAGGTCAGAACACCGGCCTTCATTTCACTCAAACGGTCTCAAACTGCACCGTGAAAATCAGCATTAGAGGGCTAACCGCGAATCAGATCTGTACGAAAATAAAGGAATAAATCGAGAAAACATCGAAAACTCGTTGTGAACTTGGTACGATGGCTCGACTCTTGGTGCAATAAGTAACTATTATTCTAAACACTCGAACAATATGTCTTTATTTGCAAAATGCAAAATGCCGGTCTAACGAGGTACTAAGTGCAGCGCAATCTTGTTATAATGAATTGGGTCGGCGCCAAGTCCGTTTCGCTGCCAAAACTTTACCGAGTTAACTGCTTATTAATGTGTTCACTGGGAAAAAACTAGTTTCACAAGATCCAGTAACAGAAGATCTATTTCGGTGGAAATTCGACCCAGTTATTCCTCGGGCATTGTATATGAGTTCGTTATATCAATCATTGTGCCAGAGAGTGTTTGTGTTATTATCGGCCATGGACTAAAATCATTAGCAGACCATTGCTGATTAGTAATTTTAGTAATTACTGTTACAACCCATGCATGAAAGGAACCTTATTTGACACCAAGCTTCGCTACGAGCGTACAGAAATCGAACTTACCTTAAAAATGTCAGAAGTCTTCAACAAAGATGCCAATTTTGTCAGTCGAACGCTATGTTGTAGCATTTGACTTGGTATGACTGTAGTGTGTATATTAAAAATAAACGGAATATTCCTTCCTGCGAGGCCGATTCAACAAACTGCGGGAGAAAACGATTGTTTTGTTTTCTAACTGAAATTTTGCCACCTATAGATGTATTCATTAGCACTTTAGTATGGGGTTTTTGTCAAGACATTTGTAAAGAAAATGTCCCACGAAAATGTCCCACGAAGAGACAGTCGGCTAAACTGAATAATTTACGAAACCCCCAATTGACAATCTTGATTTTTTATTTTTGTTTACAAAAAAGGGGCATAGACTTACTGGCAAAAATACTACTGAGAGTGAAACGTTAGCCCAACTTTGACTTGGCTGTTTGAAGAGCCGACATTAAGGATATTAAGAGTATATATTTTTCAAATCATGGGATGAGAGCTATGAAGTGTACCTCATATAAAACTTGGCTGTTAACTGAAGACAAATGACCATTAAAATGACCATTATAGAACTTCTGTAGAGATTAATTTCACAAAGTCATATGTATCTTTTTGCTTTGCACTGTTCAAAGTTGTCTCTTGAGGAATAGCCAATCAGAGAAAGCGATAAGTTTGGCCTCGGAGCATATCTTACCCTAACAGTTAAAGATCGCTTTCTTTAATTAAATTGGGCTTTCAGATTAGGGACAAAAGGGTCACTGAAATGATTCAGCAGGACTGGTTAAATAGTGTAACAACAAATGTCGCTTTCTTGCTGCAGCTTTGAGATAAGTAATTTCATATAATTTATTGTCAGTAACGTGGAGGGGGTGGAGGAGGGTTTCGGGAGAATCCAAACAACTTCTGAAACAAATATATTTTCAATTGGAACCGACGAGAAGCTAACAGCTTTCATAGCACTGAATAAACAGATCAGATGGTTGGAGTTTTTAAAAACTGATGTTGATGTTAATTTTTTTCTGTCCATTATATTCTCACTGTGTTTAGTAGTAATTATTTTACTGTACGTATGATCAGTCATAAATCAGAGTTTCGGTTATCATCGACTGGTATACGAACAGTGCAAAAATAAATATCCTTATTTACTTTCCGCTAAATTCATCTGACGCACGGGAAGGCAAAAGCTATTGTCTTTTTTCGTGCGACTTAATTGTTGTGTACTTAGCTAATAAAGCAAAAATTATCAGCGACCAATGGTCTGAAACCACTTGAGGTCCCTGACAGTTCTCCATGTCACATTTGTTTGTTCATCCATTTGCTGATTGGCACTGTATGGAAGATATATCTTTATTTACTCTCATGGTAAACCTGAAAGGCTTCTAAAGGAGCCACCCTAAACATGCTCGCGCACAATCGTTGTACCTATTAATTAAGCCAAGCAGTTCTTGTTTTGTATGAAAAAAAACATCCTTTTTCAATGCAATAAATTCTATCTGAAAACCTATCTGTAAATTCCCCCAAACATCGGACCTCTTGTCAAATCTGAGTTGCGAGGACTGATGGTATAGGTCTTCATGCAGAAGCAATTAAAATTTAAGCCAAGTTTACTGAGTGCAATTATAAGGGAGAATAATCCAATGTTTTTCTTTTTTTCTTGTTTTAAAAAAAATTCAATTATTTTCTAAACCAAAGACGTCAAAAAGGAGTTTTATTTTCAATAAAGCAAATTTCGTTTGATATCAGTTCATCAAATTTGTCTCCTCTCCCACTTTATTAGATTTTTCCCCAGTTTTGTGATTGTTTTTGCAATCCGTAATTCCTTAAAACTTTAAATTCGATGTATTGCTAGAGGTTTTTATGACATACTAAAAGTAAATATAAAAAATAGTATCTTGCCTGTCGTTAAGTGGTTATCGGTTTTTTCTGTATTCAAGGTATCACAGCGGAGCAGTTGTTCAGTTGCACTTTGGTGCAGCAAGTGACTAAAACTGTGTACTGAAGCTCAATTGTATAAATAAGAACAATCGATCAACTGAAAAAAAAAAACAGAAGTATTGCGCGTAGACGAGAACATATTCTCACATATTTTACAGAAGCACGCCTACCCCTTA